CTAGATGCGGTTTTCTTGCTGGTACATAAGGTTACCAAGCCTTTGAATGACTCTGCTGGATGTGGACGTTGTGTTTCTGAACAACTCAGCTGTTTGTACTTCTCTCTCTCTCCTCCTTCGTAAACTGGAGGCCTTCGATGGTCCCAAACAGCCTGCCTTACTGTTTACTTATCTGTAAGAGCTCAGTACACCGTCATTGGTGGACTTCTCCGGGTACCCCAAGGTGCTGTCCTTTTCCCCTACTTATATCTTACCTTTATTAGCTACTTTCCTGTTTACGGTCCTACGTTATATTTGCAAAAGATGTGCTCTTATGTCAGACTATCTCCGATTCATCTGACCTTTTACAATTTTCTGACAACTTGGACAACCTTCAAAAATGTTCTGCTAATTCTGATCTCATTCTCATTCCCCATATGTTGTTTGAATGTCCTTTGACGGTATGCCGTTCTTCTTTTTCTTCTGATCGAGTATAAGTTATCTTTGAACAGGTATTCCAGGTCAGTTGTATCAACTACCTAGGGTTTTCATTGAGGATAACCTTTACCAAACCTCTCACACTCAATATGTTGTAACTAAACTTTGACAGATATCTTCCTACACCCTTACACTTTGTCAGTTTCGAATTCGAGTCCTTTATGTCGAAATTGGGCTGCCTGTGTTTCCCCTTCCCCATTCTCTTCTCACCTGTTGCCTTTTGTAATCTCTCTGAGAAAGGCTTTACGCTGATTCCACATGGACTGCTTATCATTAGTCATATTTCTTTGATCCGCTGAAGGAATTGATAACTAATCTGTGTGAACGTCATTTAAATGAGTGTGAAACATTTACACTTAAGATTCTTATAGACCCCACGCATCCACTGCACACAGATTTCACTCCCTGTCTTTCCCAATCATCAATAAATCTTTCATAAAACACTCTTACTAGACTGTTAAATTTCAGGTATTAACATGACTTCGAACGTGGGATAAACAAGAAATAGAAGAGGTTGAAGGTGTCAACTTTACGAATTTACCCATAATCATTGATATCTGTTATCTAATACTTGGATAGCTTGGACTGTACAATGGCGAACTCATACTAAATTAATCCGTGTCTCCTCGAAGATGACCACTAGCAGCCACTCCTAGTTTGGATCGATCGAGTTGGAAGAGTTTTCGCGGGAATGAATTTGAGCACGCTCTTTACTCTCCCTCGGTTACTCTATTGCAACGGAACGTGCGGATGGTCTGTGAAATCATACGTATACTAGCCACATGTTAGTTAGTGTTATACTTGGATTAGCCATTTTTGTTTCATATAACGCTTTCGGGTCTCCTTTCACCGTAGAACGTGAAATTAATGCCCACCATATTCGGTAGATTTTGCATGCTACTTTTCAGTCAAACCCACACTTTTATCGAATGCTTTAGCCTCGCCTGCGCAGTTCTTTTAATACGGTTGTGTCGTGGCCTCATTCAACAGCGAATGGGCCCTCCCCGGCATAAGACAGTAAGCAGTGAAGCGGATAAAACAGACAGGCCAGAATAGGATAGTTGAATAATGTAGTTAGCTGTGATGGACGGGCATATATTGTGCTTGCATTCAGATCAATGCAATTTCCTTATTCATGAAAACTCAGTTGTTTGCGTCGATCCAAAGGAGAGCAGCAACTTAAGAAATCCTTGTTTGTATTTAACGGGTAAAAATATCGAGAGTACAGGACAGAAACGTACTTTTCACCCATTTTCACATTTATCTACCCAATCCATCTGTGTCACATCTGAATGCTGGTGAGATTTCGAGTCACAACGAACTTTTTCCCGCCTAAAGTGATTATCACATACGTAAGTATACTCATGTACGTCTAGAAAAGAAACAGTGCTAATTGATCTGTCACCTAGTTGTGAGGAGTGACAAAGAGGTGGGTGAGTGTGAACTATAGATTCAGTGTCTTTTTTCTATCAAAATCACAAGAATGAGGTCACTAAAGAAGCAACCTATCGCATCCCAAGTTTCTCCCACTACGGATTGTTGTTCATTATTAGTAAATTTCAATCCTTCATAAAAAGTTTTATCATTGATTTCGAGGGAGAAGCATTTAACCAGTAGGTTGATGCTATTTAACTGGTATGTGTCTAGAGTTGATCGTGTTTCCGAAAGGAATTATCCAAAGAAACGTGCCTAATTAAACGTATTCCAATCTAGTAATCCCTAATAGTTTTTGTGAAAATATGCAGCAACATTTGGATTCGAATCGAACTTGTTTTGCATAGCAGAATTTAGCTTGGAAAGGATTTTTTCGGTCAGTGCGAATCGGTAGATTCACTTCGGAGTGTGTGGCTTATCAACTGCACTCGCACTCTCACTGAGAGAAATGTCTGGGATGATAATCGCCCGTTTTTCAATGCTCTGTTAACTCATCATTTGTAATACTGTACCGTTTATCTTGTGAAAGTTCACTGTCGAGTGAAATAGCATTCAATCTGCTACTGGTCACTCAGCTTCCCACTTATTTATTACACTCTCCACACACTTCTGCCTTGCTTTATCCCGCTCAGACGACGAGAGCATGATTTTTCGATCAAATTCCGCCGGCACCAAGGCTGTTGAATGCTACATCAAACTGGTCGGAAATGATGTGAGTGTATTCAGTTACCTGTCACTAAGTTTTTCTCATTCGCTCACTCACTCGCTGTGGATTTGACAACGAAACAGTTCACTCACACATTGCTTATCGAAAGGAATGTGAGCTATCCCTGTATGAACAGTCGGTGTTCAGGTTGTGCCTGTCTTGTTTGAGCGTAACGCCAAACTCATTTAGCTTGGTTCATTCCAGCTTGTGTCCAAAGGTTTACTAATTCCACTGAGTAGTTTTAACATGAACTACTAACCGTTTAAGATTTCCCACAGTGTGGGCCAATTCATGAGATCAGCACCGATTACTTAATATATCTAAACCTTTCCACTCAAACAACCAGACTACTTTCCAACTTACAAAGATGTGGTTTGAAACATGCATCTCCCATCTTGACTTACCAAATTTCACACTGTATTCTTGCGAAATTCTGAGTTCATTCTGCAGGCCTTACTCTGAACTAACTATAGACAAGCAATGTTACACATATCGAGTGGTGCCTTATTGAAGCCGCATGATATGTAGCTCACGAATTCTATTGAAACATCATGCGACCGGCGTAACCAATGCCTCAAGCATTGATCACGCATGTTAGTGGATGAGCACAAAGACGCGCACGCGTTCAGCCAAAATACGTCATAGGAATTCAGGGGTATGTGACCGAGGCACGTCTCATAACCGTCTACCGTCTATTCGGCAGGAGGTTGGGATATCTAGGAAGTATGGTGATCATCCAGACATCGCTAGGAGGATTACACAGTTCAAGGGCCTGGTAGCTGTGATAAGGTTAACATGACCGCTTGAAATGATGCTGCGACAGCGTGAAATGATATTCGGACAATTTGAATTGCAAAAGGTATAGTCGCACTCAAACTAGACCCCAGTAGTAATGCATATCCACTGTCCCGTCTGGGATATGAACTTCGTATGAAAGGCGTGTGTTACTGCAATGTCAAGAAAGTCACACATTGTAATCGTTTTATTTTGTCTATGCAGTAATTTTCGTTCAGTCCCATGATCATCGGACCAATCGTATTGCCAGCCGAATGACCACATTCATTTTTAAGCATGAATTCACTGTTCCTATAGGTCTATTCTTGGGCAGTACATACGCTATATCACACCTGCTCAAATAAAAGAAAAATACAATTTTTATTCCACAAATTTAGAACCCATGTGTAAAATATGTATGCGTTAGTGTAATCATTTGCGTGCATTTGAAAACACCAGGTTGTACGGAACACGCAAAGAATCGTTCACTCTATTCGCTAATTTAGGACCAACAGACCGATCATTCCACTGTAGTTTAGGCGAAACTAAACGCACTCTGTTCCGTGTCTGAAGAAAAAGGTTAAAACTATCAGCAGGATACTTGTACCAGCGTTTGCTCGGGGTTCTACCGTGTGCTAGCGGAGAGGGACTTGGCTTTACCAGGGTTCTTTCCATTCAGTAGACATATTTGCGCGCACGCACTCACACACACTTACACACACGAAACAAAGTGAGTACATACAATTGTGGAAAATAAATGCGCTGAGGGGCGCGCATAAATCTATCCATGAATACAGCAAGCTTTTGATAAATTGCATATTTGGGGAAATGTTGTCCGAGGGTAATCGAATGACCGAAAATACCCTGCATATATTGCGCAAATACGTTGCATTAACTTCTCGTTCTTCTTGGTTATTTCATGCTTGTCTCTACTTTTTGAAAAAAACACCTTTTTTACAATTTTGAACAAACGAAGTAATATCAAATTCATATATATTTGTTTACCAGATTCAGCAGATGATGATTTTCTATACGACATACCGCCACCAATGTCAGCTGTTCACATATACCACGTGACAAAGAAACAGTTCATGTGTGGTAGTGTCTCTCTCGGTGACTCTGAACTCTCATTTTGGCTTGCTCGCCCCAAGTCAATCAATAATCGGCTGTGTGTAATGAGTGTGTGTTTGTGCTCTGACCACTATCCAGTTGAAAAACAGTGAAAAAATGTATCGGGTTATGGTGGTGCAGTGAAAACATCACAGTTGATGATAACGATGTTGACGGAATGCACTCCAAATGATTTAGTGTTGATTGTACCAGTCATTTCTTTAAATTAATGAATTTTGGTTCGGTAAACAATCGTGGATTATGTAACATAAGTTCATCCGAAAGTTCTCTTCAACCTGGAGTATGTCACTCCAAACTGTCAGGTAATCATCCGTAAGCTATTACCTAACAAGTCCGTACGAAAACTACAGATATTCACGCTGTGGACAAAAACAATTTTATTCTCAATTGAGGTGTATCCCCAAGTGAAATCGTGCCTGGTGTTGAATCACTTCTGTTGATTGTTGATAGCTATTTTGCATACGATCACCAAGATTCTGCATTGGGGTGTCTTCGGGCGTGAATTTGGAAAAGAGTTCTTTCACATTATTTCCCTCTGCAAACAAAGAATATCTCTTGCATGAGAGTAATGGAGCATTTAACTAGATTATATAGAGGATTTCGTCGTGTGCAGAGCAAATGGAGATTGATTTATCAATCTAGGAAGCTCTATAGAGCCGTTTCAGCCTGACTGGGTTTCATCAGCCGTGCGAGTCCATCGATCCAACAGAGGAACGAACGCGGAATGTCACAGATAGACCGCAAGCGTACTACTCACTTGGCCGTTTTTCATTTTGCTTGTACAGGATAAAGCACAATCCATCTTTGCAGTATTGTGTGGGACAATACACCTTGATCATTTCTGCACCAGTCTCCAAGATTATGACTTGGATGGAAGCATTCGAAATCTCGCCACTTGTTACACAAGCGTAGTAAAGGATTTCATTCGATTATCTAGTGGGTCTCGTCGTGGCTCATGGTACTCTAACTCACAAACGGTCCATGTTATAATCGAACCTAATCTTTGGAAATGACGTCAGGCCCGATTGGTTTACGAGGAGACAGGCTTTGTTGCGTTGGTTTTACTATGAAGAACTCAATTCGTCTATGCCATACTTTCTCCGCTTTAATGAAACTGTCAAAACAGTTAATCCTTCGCTTGTTACATTCAAATACTCACAGTCATGCTTTTGGATCTTGTGATTGGTATACAATATTTAGCCCATTTGGGGGTGTGTTAATAACACATCAATGTCTTGGTTACACTCTCTAATAACCTGTTACTTGTCGATTGACTCAAAACAGTGCTACGTCATCGTCATAACCGATGTGTGATTTATATTCTACAATTTTTTAACATGTAAATTGTTTCTAGGTATTATTAAACATAACACTCATTGTTTACCACGCATCACTAACTTGAATTATAAAACCAATGTCAAGACTGTTTTCGATGACAAAAACATGTATCACCCCAGTCCAATCATTTACCCTGCTCGAGGTTTAGGTTAAACTCCTTCGTTTTCATAGTCCACTAATTGTGAGACTAGGGTGCATTCGATTCCAAAGGCTATCACTCCCCGAAGCCACACCCAGATGTTGGCATGACAACATTAGTGCATGCAACTACGGCATACACTTGAATCCTATCATATAAGAATGGTTGCTACGACCGCGTGATGCCCCTGGTCTCACGATGAGTGTCGTAACCGATGGACCACGGCCCAACACGATGAAACACGCACGCGACAAAGATCGTATTTGTATGCACAACAGGCATTACATACGCGAGAGAATAAAAACTGACAAATAGATGATTCCTCAGCATTTTCCTTGCAATGGGTAATTTAAGGAAACTTCCACCGAAATGACCTTGAATAAAGAAAAGAGCCAATTGAAGTGGTACAACTGAAATCCGAGTTAATGGCGCTGCATTGCCTCAGGTGCATCGTACGGGCAATGCTGTATTACGTGAATAATGGAATAATATTCCAATTACATGATTCAAATTAGCAAGTTAGGCAATCCTCCAAGTGAACGGTCATGAAAGTGAACAGTACTGCCTGTGTGGACAAAAACCGGGTTTCCATTGGTGAACTGTAACCCCTTCCGCACACTAGATGAACCCTGCGTGGCACCCGGTGAGCGTAAATTGATGACCGTAATAAGGTTGACTGCACTAGGTAAATGTGAGTAAACTGTCAAACAAACCCATAACGTAGCCGACGACTATCAGTCAGTCAGTCAGTCAGTCAGTAAGTCAGATGCACCTTCAAAGCACTGTAGAGATTAGACTGAGAGGCACGTTCCTTTATTATTTCAAATCACTTCTGGACATGATCTCGGACCGTGCAGACGTAATTCGTGGTAGCAAAGCTTTACTTAATGAGTTTTTCTGTCCGTCTGTCTGTCTGTCTGCCTGTTTGTATGTATGTATGTATGTATGTATGTATGTATGTATGTATGTATGTATGTATGTATGTGTATGTATGTATGTATGTATGTATGTATGTATGTATGTATGTATGTATGTATGTATGTATCTGTATGTATGTATGTATGTATGTATGTATGTATGTATGTATGTATGTATGTATGTATGTATGTGTGTGTATGTCTCGAATTAAACAACTGTTAACACATCTGGGTAGATGAACCATTCTCTTCACGTGTACTTGTGAGTGTTCGGCCAACTTCCTGGATCTAACTGAAAACTGTTAATTTGCATAATCGTTCATTTGTAGGATTGCCATACACGTTCATTTGGATCACGTAATTTAATTATCCATAGGATACAGTATTATCCGTATGATGCACCGGATGGAATGCAGTGCGATGAACCCGGATTCCACTTGTGCAACCTGGGTTTGTTCCCCTCGCTATTCGCGTTGTTAGGTTATCGCAAACAATGTATCCCTTCATAAGGAAAGGCTGTCGTACACACTCGAGTGACTCGTCAAAGTAAAGGATGTTCATCCGATTGTTTCTAATCTGGCATCACAAGTTTATATATATATATATATATCGGTTTAGGTTACGTCGATTTTGAGAAAGCACCTAGCATGGTCGCAATAGATGATTCGACAAGCAACGAAAACAGCAATGAACTGCTACATTTGCCTCCCAAGAATTCCAATTACAAATGTTCCCGTGTGGTCATCCATTCGGTGGAAAACAAATTTGTTTCATTGACGAGTCTCCAGTTATTTGCGTGATGAATCATCGGTTTTTGTTAGTTGCAAGCTGATCTGGTTTCAACCAGATGCAATAAAATAAAGCTATACATCTTGGTAATCTGACCACAATAAGTAAGCGTTTGTTCATCTTTGGCTGAAGAATTCGAGCTTCTGAAACCGGTTTTCCCCCTTGCTGAATAAACTCCCTAATCCCTCCCCCCATCTTACCTCCTCACCACTATGGATTCAGATGTGCATGGAACTTGCATTCAAAAAAGTTAGACTCGAGTTGCATCGCAAGGGAACAATCAATCCGTAGATTTTGGCGTGATGTATTATTACTGACCCGTTCGGGGCTCCGTTAATTGCGCACATCTGTGTGGAGCCGGAGATAAATTGGCGAGTAAAACTGTTCTGAGACAGCTTTGTCTGAACCAAAAACGTCTTACTTTTGAAAGTGTTGTTTTGAAATTGTTTCAATCTAAGTAAATTTTGAGCCCTAAAGCAATGGAATGTCTACTGAAAGATCAATTCGTCAATTGAAAATAACTCTGTTGTTCATAATTTCTATTCACTTTGAATAAGAAATTATTCATACGATTCATATTCATCCTGTGTCAAAAGCATGAGCGAATAATATGAGACATAACGGTGAGTGACCGGGTGGTGGTGGCCCGAACGTAACGCCACCAAATTATCACCCCAGGAATGAGTGTTCGAATTCCATCACCACCGTGTAACTTTCCCTATTGTGTTTTGAAAAGCAGCCCCTTGATTGGTCGCTTACCCCTTCCTGAAAATTGTATCTTTCTGTACTCAATAAAAAGAAAGTAAAAATTAAAAGAAAACGAAAATCTCTCACACCCCGTTAAGAAACGAACGGTACTCTCCAGCTTGCAAACGTCGTTCAGACTAAAACACCTTCACTTAAAGTGCTAAGGCAAAATCTTTTGTTATCATTAGCTTTTTACTAACTGCGGTTCCGATGCTGTACACTTTTACGGAGACAAGTTACCATTCTCCGAATGGTGTGACCCAGCTCACCTGTGCACACACACACGCTTCACCAACTCCCAGACTTATCTCTGCACGCTTAACATTGTCAAATTTGGGCCTATGAGTCACCTTAACTGAGTGTGACACGGAAAGGATGATTAACGACAGTGAGCAATCTTCACGTTGGGTTGTCCGATCGATAAGTTATCCAGCTGGCCGTTTGTCAAAGACAATTCTGGTTGATTGAGGCGTTCCAGTTTGGTTGTCTGTGCTGTGGTAAATATCATGGAATGATCGATCTTTCTGATGTAAAAAGAGAGATATGGATGACACAGACTCTTATCTGTGGTCGTATGCGGAGAGCTAACTGTTCCCCGTCGTTTATCATAGGACATGTGAATAGACGAAATTTCAGTGACTCAGCTCCGGGTAATCTAACTCACGGAACCGAGCATCAAACGGAGCTGAATGCTCAAATCAAAAGTTGCCAATGGTTATTTGCATAAGTGTATACTTCACCAGACCGCCGAGAACAGGTAATCAGCAACAAGGAATGAAAAAAATTGGAGAACGTATGTGCGACCTGTTAAATCTATTTTTTGATTAGAAGTGGAAAATATCATTTGGAGTTGATGTTAAGGTAGAAGGGTTTTGTTAGTTCAATTCGATGGTCTATGTATACAAAGCCAATTAAACCACAATTTTTTATTGTTCCAGCTGATAAAATGAAAGCTGGAAAAGCAAACAAAGTTTGGAATTCCATAAAAGTTGGTTGTTTCTCTAAAATTTCCAAACATGTCAACACCAGCTGGACATCGTTCACGTTTCTGTGACTCCACAAATAAACAAATAAGTGGGTTTCTATAAGAAGCCTATCAACATATTTGTCACTGCCATTGCTGAAAACGAAAAGGAGCTAACTAGATAGCTCTATCACAAGAGTTAATGGATATCCACTGCGGTGTGACCGGTTTCGCAGTACAAATGAGAATACACAGCCTACATCAAACTACATGATACAGAAGAGTATTTAATTTTTTGGTACACAAGGTGCACGCGCGTAATACGATTAACAACAATTTAGAAGGTGCCTTACAACAGCAGGCACGTTCGCAATTGTATTTTTGTCACCATTTCCTCACTCGATGCTTACAGTTTCTTTTTCTTCTCGGTCCATTATCGCCAACCTGGCGATTCCTAAATAATCTTCACCTAATATCAAGCGGAAATAGAGGAAACACGCGAGCACCGACTGCTACCTCTTAAACCGGGGGNGGGGGGGGGGGGGGGAAATCTGAACTGAGCGCCGATCGGATTGCGTAGTCGGTCGCCTGACTGAGCGGCAGAGATTAAAACACCAGTTCAGTCGGTCAGTGAAACCCGCCACGGAGAACATCGTGCGGATCAGTAAGAGCAAAGTGATAGAATTCCCAATGGTTTGATCCAGCGTGATAAAAGTATTTAACTTATTAGTCTATATATTTACAGACTACGTAGTATCAAAACAACGCTACGGATTGCCAGCAGCAATGTACGTATTGCCGAGAGTGAGCTTGTTCTCCTCTCATCAAGCTCCTCTGGACAAAACTTATCGAGACATCAGGCGCGTTAGACCAATTGTGATGCCATCCAGATCCGTGTACGGTGTGAACTGTCTCACGAAGACTTGTCAGATGGGTAAATAAGGAGCGGTTAATAACGTTGCAGTCGAAAATGCGCATTCTGCTCTTGATTTCAGCAACCTGTGAGTTGAAAAGGCAAATTGTACTTCAAAGTAACATATCTTTTCACATTCGTTGTCCTATTAACTTATTTTCCGGTTCTTTATGCTTATATTCAGTGATTATTGTTTATTATTGAATTTTTCCCAATATGCCTTTACCACTGGTGAACTGATCAGACGATATTTCACTTTGCTTAGCCACGGTATATCACAACCCATTTTATGGGTTAATGCGGGTATCACACTTCGGAGTGATCAGCTACCCGTGGTCGAGGGGATAGTATGCTTGCGGTCTACCTGTAAAGTCCCGCGTTCGTTCCTCAGTTGGGTCGATAGCTTCGCACTGCTGATGAAATCCAGTCAAGTTCAAACGGCCCTTCCTAGATTTGCAACTCAATCTTCATGTGCTTTGTGCACGACGAAATCCACCAATTAGTCGAAATCCTCCACTACTCTCACATGGGAGTCATTTGTTGTTTGCAAGCGAAACTGCTTCGAAGTGATCAAATTACAAGTATATGTTCGAGGAAAAAACAATACAGGTTCTCGGTGGTCGTATGCCAAATATTTTTAAACAGTCAACAGAAGCAATTCAAAGCAATTCGGGGAACCACCCCAATTTGGAACTAAATCCACACCGTAAATGTGGATTTGATATGTAATAGCCTACAAATTCCCAGGTTGTCAGCTCACACTTCATTCACGCACCGAATTCATCATTTAATTTATTTTTACTGACAGAACCTAAGACTTTTTGAGAAATAAAGTATTTAAACCAACTGAGACATTTGACTAAAATGCGCGAGTATAATGCAACTAAACAGTTTACGATGATTTTATAAAAATAATCATCTGTAGTGATCAGTACCATTTATGCAAGCATTTAACTAATAATAAACAAATTATATCGTTCATCTGTGTCCCCAAGATCTTGTGAATGAATGAGTGCACTGAAAACTATTGTAGTTTCATGTCCTACATGACTCAAACCACTTTCGGCGTCCAATTTTTAGTGTTTATAATACAACTACTGCCAACCTTATGAGTAGCTGAAATGAAAATGCGATTTAAATGCCATTTCCAGGTGTTCCCTTAGGAGGGTACCAGAAACCGAATCAGTTTCATGATGCTAATACATTGCAATATATTAATTTTGATCAATGTTTTTTTTTCAGTATTTACAGCACATCCTTAAATCATCAATTGATCAGTTATTGGCTACCTCCGAAGACTTCGAAATAGATCCTTCGCGTATAACAAGTACAGAATCCAATGGAACGATCAATCCCGCTAATGTAACTAATCAAGTGGACAAGAACCGCGAAGCATTGATCAGACACTTGAAAGTTATTTGGAGCAAAATTTCCTCCAGTGTCTCTGATTTACCCCGGTATGAAAATTGTGATTGTGCATTTGGACTTATAATTATGTCGTAAATGTCAACTTCGGTAATGCATATTTTCGAAATCAGAACAACGTATTTTCAATTTTTGATCTAAACGCCATGGCGAATGACCAAATGGATCGATTTGTTCCCAGAATAACATAATGTCATCTCAGGTCTCTCCTACACCAGATTCAACGTAATTCCCTTAGGAAGTCTCCTGTTTTTCCAACTCCGGTTACCGGTGACAGGTACATCATGGCAACAATCAAGTTACTGAAATCAATTCTGAATAGTCATATTTGTTAGCACGATGCATTGGTAAAACTGCCTTCGAATCACTTTGCATTCGATAGGTTTACTCCCGTTCCAATTGTCAACCAAAGTAAAACAGCTGTGTGGTACCTTAAAGGTTTCCATCGTGGAGGAACGTGGTAGACGGACATGAAGAAACGGAAATGGATAATGAATAAATGAGGAATCATCAGTGATACTTTATTACGATATAAGAATTGATATTATGTACACGTACTCAGATATCTCATTATTTGTGGGAAATAATTGTCAAGCTGACGGTCGAAAATTACTTGCAAACCAGGAACCTGAGAGTGAAGAAAAGTATAACATTTTTTTAGCAGACTACTAAGCGAAATTTCATGTGATACCCTTGTGAAGACACCAGTACCCTCTGATTGATGTTCTAACTCAGTCGATACTGCCCGTGTTGTGAACAGACGGATTTGGCTTCCACACGTGGGTTCGAATTCCACTCGGGCTGCTGACCTACTCATCTAAAAGAAAAAGTTGAACCTACATGGAGAGAAAATGTTTTCAATATACAATAGCTCTGGTAATGTTCACGTCACGTCGTTTTAATAAACTGTACAAAGAATATCAGTATATATTTTAGATAATCACTCGTTAGAGGGAGAACTACTTGTGCTCGTTTATAAAAAGCAATATGTGCTATAGACGTTTAAGAAACACGGTTATATGCATATCAAACCCTGACAGGTGCGCACGTGCCCGCTTTGACTGCATTGTATTCTATACGCTGTGTGACCTTTGTTCAACCGGTTGATACTTTCTCTTGCTCACTTCACTGATTCAATCAGACGTGGGTCTTGCCACAATGTACCAAAACGTCATACGATCGAAAATCAATGTTGTTTCTGTATCGGAATAATCTCAGTCATTCAGCTAAGGACGATTTTTCGATTTTTCGATTTTCGTTATGTCATATTATACCAGGCTAGTAAGTTCCGAATTGACGGTTCATCGTAGATTTCATCATTTCACCAACTTATATATTTCCCACTAATGTCCATTTGTACCAATGCTAAACGGGGAAAGCGACCGCATTATTTGTAAACAGCATAAAATATCGAAGACTGCCTAATAAAGCTGATCACTATCATCGCGAGTTCACCGCAGTTGAGTACAAACAGTTTTGCCAAATTTTTCCGCATTATCCTCGGCAAGACAAGAAAGCGATTCATTTCACTTTCTCGTTTCGTTCTATGGAATTGATTTCAGTATGCGTGTATTTACGAGTCCATCTACCAAAATCTTTTCCTCATCAAAACTATCATTGTATTTTTGTTGTCCCAATCAATAAAATTCAGTGAACTACGTGAAGTGTTCGCCAGTTTGAGCACTTCCGTGGAACAGAGTCACGGATCAAGAACAGCTGCACGACTGATTTCCAGCTGTCTCTTTCTGCGATTTATCTGTCCGGCTATCCACGGTCCCGTTCTATTCGGCCTGGCCACAGCAGTTCCTGAGAGTAGTCGACTCTCGCGCAACCTTACCATGGTTGCTAAAGTGTTACAAAATTTGGCCAATCTGGCCACATTCGAGGAAAAGGAACGTCACATGCGTTCACTGAACACGTTTGTGGAGGCCGAAATTCCACGCATGTGTGCATTTCTTCAGTCCATCTCGACCGAGCCCACAGACGAGGATGCTCCGACCCAGATGTCCGGCTGTCATCAATTTATTGATTTGGGCTATGAATTTGCTAAACTGACCAGTCTTCTATTGGCTTACACAGGAAATAGTACAGTAAGTGGTGCCATAGATCCTTTTTTCTGCATAGAGTAGTATGTTAGAAATAAGTGATCTGCAATGGTACTTAACGTGGTCCTCTCTCGCTCTGCTTGTTCCTTTGATTGCAACGAGTTTGGTTTTATCAGAAATGGTAGTCTGGCACACTGTCTTTCATATTGTGGTAGATATATGTCTATTCGGGGATGGTTTTGAATGACGAGCTCACTGGCAAAGGACCTTTCGACGAAGGAAATAACTACCATTATTAGATTAAGCAGAAAAGATCGGTGAGGGCAAGAAAGTGATGAACATCCGCACAGATTTGCATAGTCCATCATCAATGCTTCCAAGCTAAGCCATATGTTCCACCGTCTCAACAAAAATTTATAGCACAGTTGAGCTGTCGCCTTTGATGACAATCTGTTTGACTGATTGCCACTTACGGGAGTCGAAAATCAGGACATTCAAGGCACAGCACGTCGTTGAGCACGTTCCACTCTGACTCAAACCTGATTGGATTGAAGATTGAATAGTCAAGAGTGAATACTCGGTTGACTCATCAAAACCATCTGCCGAGTCCCACAACATCCCTTCGAGAGCAGCACACATCTTCGGGTGTGAGCAAAGACGAGGCAGATTAGGATCCGCATTATGAGGCATAGAGTGGGTGTACAACGAAACGGAGTACAAACGATGGAAATCCTCTGAACTAGGAAAAACAATCTCGTTCCTACATGCAACGATAACACTATTTGAAGGTAATTTCGTTTACACAATATAACCAATGTGCTTAACTATGGACAGAATGCGGCTGAGAACGAAAGCCCAGGAGGACATATATGTTGACACAAAGTGTTCGGCGCAAAATATTCGTGCATTTCTTGGTTTAAAGCAATTTCTTTCCTACGCAAATCGCTCACACTCACGTTTTGCTTAACAGCCTGTGTATCCTCAACCAATTGTGTGATGTGATCAGTTGTTTGCATTGTTGCTTGCATCAGAATTCTCGGAAATCGTTTTTGATGACAGGCCAGCCCGCGGAGGTGAAGATATCTGACGGCCAAAATGTGCAGTAATCAAGAAATTCGCGTTCATGGNCTGTCGATCGAATTTGGTTTGATTGCATAGCGTATTTCGTCGTGTGCAGAGCCAATGAACTATGAGCTGAGAAGTAAGGACTCATCCAACAGCTTCTTAGACCTGATTGGTCTCCACTGCTCTGACGTTTCAAGTAGCCCGGTACGGAAAGTGTCTCCAACGGAGTTAAAACATTGGAGGCTAGTGTTCAGATGGGCAAGTTGTAATATTCGCAACAAACCCGCAAAGATGAATGTTATATCATGTATAGGCAGAATGAAAACAGTTTGATCAGCTGTCCGGTGGTGAAGTGAGTAGTTTGCTTGCATTCTCCTTTTGAGGTCCCCGGTTCAATCCCCATAGTGGATTGATAGACTCGTGTGGCTGATAAGACAATCCAGTCAAACCAGCTGTACAGTGCATCCTATCTTTATTAGCTCTGTACTCGACGAAATCAACCATGTAAACCCTCGTTAATTTATGATAGAATGGTTTTACCAAATTTACGCGATCAAGTTTTTAAGCTCAGTTCAAGCAATTATAATTTTGTCTTTGTAATTAGCACAGCTTCGTTTGTTGTAGTTCGATGTTCCAGATCTGATAAATGTCTAACTGCTTTGGGAAACATGTTCTCTGTCCATTGTTCGTTTATGATCTATAGCTCCCTGATGAACTGGCCGATTTGCCCAGTATTCTGTGTTTTATCAACGAACACACGCATGACGCATTTCTCTCCTCCTGGACGCCGGATGTTATTCCTTGTCGTCGCTATGCCAGTTGTGATTCATCCGGTCCTCTGCTTACCAATCGGCCCCGGTTTAACAGTACGGATAGTGTGCCCTATGTACCAACAAGTACAAGTCAGACTGGACGAGACGGGTTCTCCAATTACAGCTCAACGGTACGTTTTTAGAATTATTCAGCCCTTTTTGTAGCACCTACAAAAATATGGATCGAACGGTAAAACCGATAGTCACCATATTCACACGGAATCATCTACTCAAACCCGACACTGCGAGGTGGCGCGATCTAATGTTGAGTCAGTTTCACGGTGACTCAGTGACGTGCCACAGGTTAATATGAGACCAGTGATGATGTTGCAAAATGGTCTGTCTGTGTAGGCGCCTTATTGTTTCTACTGACCACCTTGATTGAATTAGTCTACTACAATGAGGAGAATGAAGTGAAACTTAATGAAGAAAAGTTATCTCACATCATTGACTAAGACGTTTGTATGACGAAAAATAGAACAGCTCAGCCCTATAATCCTGTGCACCTGCGGTTCTTTCATGATCATCGAATACCCAAGGACAGGACAAGATGACGACTGCAAAACTAATCACCACTGCTCCGAGACACGTTAAAGAGAGAGATCTAAACCGTTAGAACATCACTATCACCACCACCACCACCACCAACAACAAGTAGCAAAAACGACACTTAGACCTTAGTCTATCAAACCGTTTGATGTCAAATGCTTTATACAATCAGCCAGAGTTCTTCACTGATTTTCGAATTTCTTCCATATCTCTCAAGTAGAGAACCCATTGGTGTTGGATTTTTCTTCAACGTACCGTTTTTTCGATGATCTTTTAAATTACTGATAAAATGTATCTCTCTCTTTAGTATACAGAGAGACATTACACGTTTCTCAAACACAGATGTACCCATTCACATTCCTATCCTCCCGTACAGCGCATGCGAAAATCCGTCACTCTCGGCCGAATGCAGCGTCGATGCATTGCCTCCGCGAGTCGAGCACCTCCTCGTTCGATTCAGCGTATCAGTTTTTCCACATCTAACATGCCTATTGTTACGGAATAGTTTGCAACTATAGTGAATTGCATGGCACATTTGTCCTGTGCCATTTTCCCTTCAGATCTTATAGCAGGCAGCACACATATTGTTCTGCTTGCCTAATCCATTCTTCTTCATCAAGCGCACGGCTAACCAATGGCTTTGTTCGATGCGGCTACGATTTCTGCTCCCTCCTCCACTGAACCGGTGCAAGTGAAGCCACCTGGTCACACATATGCTTCAGTGCGTTCCAATCTAGTTCGTTCTCTCCCCCGTGCGATCGATCTAATCATCATTTTGGGCTGCACTTTTCGCGAAGTTATACTGCGCCAGCGTTACACTTTGCATATAACACAGGCTTGGAACCTTCCTCAGTCATACTTATATTGCCTATCTGCCGGAGTAAAATATTTCTGGACAGTCACAGATCTCATTTGGTGATAATGAATAAACGATCAACTGAATGTCTGATTAGCAGTTTCGACTTATGATGAGGGGGACGGAGAGATATGTTTGTTGGGAAAAGACACGGGAGTTCTATGTTTTACAAGGTGACCCATCAGTGAGTGTTTCAAGTGAAACTCACCCATGAAGGTAGTGTACAAATGACGTAAGTTTAACAATCTAGGACCGGTATTACACCCGGTTTTCCAATGGAAACCACCACCATAAAAGTATACCTTTAAGCAAGTAACTGCTTTATGACAGAGGGGGGGGGGCGATAGACGGGCAACCGGACACTATCTGTGAAATAGAATGAAAAGAATCCGGGGGCGGCGGATCAGGTGCGATGTGAATTAATTTCAGTGTGACTCCGTATTTTTTTTCATTGCGCCACAATCAATGATTTCATTACATGTACGCTGGCGATTCTGTTCACAAATATTCATCAATTTCTTTGGTTTAAAAGAACCTTTCTGAGGGGGAAAAATGCTTGCTCTCTTCACAGTCAATCCTCTGGTTTTTTATGTCACGCATAAATTAAATTTTTGCGATGAGTGATCTTGATCTGTATTGTCTGCATATTTTGAGGATTATTTGACACTTGTACCGTTATCAGCATTTTCACAATCAGTCCGATGGACAGATCCTGACGAAAGAGCACAGTATTCTAGTTTGAGATGATTAAAAGAAAACTTCACACTTCGGAATGATATAATATTTTGATATTATAAACCGAATTCCTGAAAAGCCCTTTTTTATTTCGGGCATGTCCCCAATCCTCTACTCTCTGGTACCACGGAATTTGCAAACTAGTTGGTTTGGCGCAGTTCGACCACGACGGAGCAACAGTTACTTTAATCGGTGCTCTCTTCTCCGGTTCGCTTTGCTCCCAAACATTCATCGTGGTTAGCTCAATATCGGTGGTGCAATTATCCTATCGTACAACTTAATTTATCTCGATCTTCGTGATGTATCAAAACTGTAGTTTTTTCCAAACTGATAAACAAATATTTGTCAAATGAAGATCAAAAGTAGTCACTAAATGAAGAATTGATCACATCAACTATCTGTGTCTGTAGGTCAGTGCATGAACAATCGACACACTAAACCGAGAAAAGTAAGCTTTTTCTGAAAATGTGAAAATAGCATAACAATTAAATCCAGTAATTTTCTATAGCTGAAGTTGTTCATCAATTGCGGACCATTATTCAGGCATTTACCGCACAGTCACCTGTGTGTAGCAGTGTAGGAAGAACGATATTAACTCTAATTGACCATCGCTTTACACTTCACCATCACGCGTAACCTTCAGTTCATCTAGCCAGCCATACTCTTATGGAGTACTGGGCTTGAGACTCGGCTTCACTGGGGCGGATTTTCGATGAGCAGTATTTATTCATCCCATCCATGACTTCAACTTCAGACCCATCACATAGAAAGGGTGAGTGTTACCACTGTGCCACACCAGATCAAGCTGGGGGCTGACTGGAATCACCAGTTCAAGTTTGTAAAGGTGTGATCTTCACCGTTGGTTGGTCATGAGCGATTACATTCGATACTTGTGTGAGGAGGCAAAGTGTTAAACAAGCTCGTCTTTAGTTGTCTCTCTAACTGATAGAATGCAGCACGAGTCACAGTTGATGAAGTAATGCAAATTAAATCATACTAGGATGGAAATGCGAATTCACACTGGTAAATCACAATCGAGTAGTCAATGTTCTGGTATTTGTCACTGACCGCTTTCGTTTTTACTTGTTACATAATCCAGTTCGGCATGAATAGCAGTGGTAAGTGGACAGCTCTTACAAATCGTTTTCTGAGTGCACAAGAGGAGGGGGTGGTTCAGTTGAATTGTGTTGGTCTCCGCGATGGATACTCGACTACCTTGAACCTTCTTTGATCACATCCCATAGACAGTCAGTTCAGTTCGGACCAACGGTATTGACAAGAGGCTCATTTGACTATCTCCGTTTGAAAGCCTAACAAATCAGTTCTTCCGTGGCAATCTTGCCACTGTTACATCTTATTGCCCAGATTTTGTTTCACATTTAATTCACAGCTACTTGTGAGTAATAGCATATGAATTAGCGTTTCCGGTTAATCCAGGTTTGAACTAAGTAGCCTAGTGATAATACCGGTGAACTCCATGTGAGCGGTTTGGAGTGCGAATCTCGGGTAGGTCGTTGACCACACACTGTGGAACATTTATACTCTCAGGTGGACGCAAAAAACCAAGAGGTGAACTATTGCTTCCGGGCTGCTTCTTACGTATCACTGATTCTGGAATAGTATTCTGCTTATTAGGAAACTTGGTTGATGAGCACTCATGACAGACTGGCAGAAAAAAAGAAGCATCAGCCGCTTCAATTTGCTTGCGGGCTATCGTCCACGTGTCTTAGTAAAGCAGGCAACTGCACCCTGGTTGACCGCAACTCCTTCACCAAGGTCACAAAAACCAATATGAAGATTATTCATCTCATGTGTCCTGTTGTGAATAATTTACGCCGAAACACCGGAAGCCAAACTCGCTTAAAAGTCATATTTTTACGTTTTCATTTTCAGGTTTGACATAGAAGTTATTTTTGGTCTGAGTTCGGAAATCCTTCGCAACAAGTAATACAAACTTGTATAGCACACACAAAGCCAATGATAGAATTTCCTTTTGCACTTCATCCCAACCCCAACAAAATCAATGCGGAAGTAATCAATATTATACCCAGTTTCTCGAACGAAAACGCAGAGGACATTCTCATTGATCATATTATCGTTCCCCTTAGAGATAGATTTTCGCAAAGATACACTCAATTTAGACCATTTGGACATTGTCTTTCACGGTCAATAGAACACTGACGTGATCGGATCACGGTAAGTAAACGGCCTCGAAAATGTTATTTGAGCTCTCAGAAATCATAAGCGAACGGAAGACCATATAACTGCACGTCGGGTTTACCGTCGCTAGTTCGCGCCCTATCAGAGGGGAAAACAAATATACAGATACTGAAAAGGACACATGTACTCGAGGGGCACGCTTACCACATGACTGATGGTTGTACGACATAGGAGTGAAGAAACAGCTGAGTGAAGAAACCCTGAGTACTGGGGGTGTTGAATGATTATGTTGTAGTGTGCTGTACCCCATCCTGTTCTTTCATACTTTCCAAATCCACGAAACATTCGGTCAGTTATCAACCACACACTTCACGGAATCAACTATTCCTTAACTTGAACAGGAGGACACATTGTCACTGATTCCGTGGTATTCATCTACAGACGCAATAAACAGATAGAAGATGCACGCGATTAATTTACTCAATACGGAGTAGCAAACAGGTCTTTGCTCAATCAATCTTGGAGAATAATAAAATTCACGCGATTGGTTTTACGAGTTATTTTTCTTTAAGGCATGCAAACCGTGAACCTCTTCTGTCTAAATAACCTTTGTACTGTTCGTAGTTTCAGTAATGCCCTTTACTATCGATGCTCAAAGTCGATCAACTTCAAGGACGTTGAAAGGTGCGATATCACGTTGTGTGAAATTTGAAAAAAAGATTTTGTTACTTGTACGTAGACCAGTTTGTTTAGGTATGGGAAAAAATCATTGAAGGGCTTTTCGAGAGAAAACATCAACCTTTTTTCATTAGTATATTCCTTTTTGGATTGATGAGCTGTAGTATACGAATCGATGTAATGAGGGTTACATCGATTCTTCAAAAAGCGATTCACAAGCAAATGATGGAACGGACAGCTTGCTTTACATTTCGCGCGACAATGAGAGTGTAATATGAAATACGGGAAGAGAGAGTTGCATATCTTATACTGCACGTTGTCATTTGAAGGCACAAAAACCTGAAGAAATGATGATGAATAGAAGACTTCTGAATGGTCCGAAAATGATGCACATTGGACTACAGCACTCTTCTGGTTGAGACCACTTTTGTTTTGGCAGTTATCCACTCAAAGAGTGATACCTCGTTTCCGTAGACTTTAACAGGTATTATTGATACCCTGATTGTGACCAAATAATCCGTGTCACCTAAAAAGCGCGCCTTATTGCACCAAATTGTTCATTATGAAAACCTTTGTGCTTTTTGCTGAACTATGACTAGTAGCAACAGTTAAACATATTTCTCGATGACTTTCCCCCTTCCGCTCTGTCGAAAATTGATAGTCCTGTAAACTGGGCAGGTAATTCAGCCCATCGAGAAATTCCGATTGTCTTCGTGCTCCATGATGCAGAGAATGACCTTCCCCACCGAGACACGTTTGCATTAGTCTACCACGCAAAATAGACAGCAGCAATCTTTCCCGCATTTTGGATGTTCCAAACGGGTCTCTCATTTTCGCCAACTGTTTCCAATAATTCGCATGCAACTAATTGTGTCTGTGTTTGCAAACAGAACTATCCCAAGCTGCTCTTTATCTGATCTGGTGAGAATTCCAGCCGATTACCGAGATGATATGTGGTCTTTTCAGATGCACACAAGCATTGGAACAATAATATAATCATTAAAAAAAACAATTGTAACCAAGACCACAGATAACAGTTTCAGTAACATTTATTCATGCACGAGAATAAAATTGACTTTAATGACCGAATTTAAAGTGACCATGAACCGCACAACGCGGCATACGGAATTTCATTATAAAACGTTTTACTGACCAATTTAATTGTTGCGTTGACAACGACAGTGTGGAATAGAGCACATCTGACCCCAATGAAATAAAATAATTCCTACGTCTCGTCCCTAAGCAACCACTTTAAACGTCTGATGCTCGGTCGTAGTGAACACCATTACCGATGTACTCCGGTCCCGTTCGTTGGACTGCTCCGTGCGTGGGTACATGCATGTGTGTGTGTGTGTGTGTGATCAGTAGCATGCACTCTGCGTGGATTTCCGTAAACGACAGTAATAAAACTCGTTACATAGAGAGGAATTGAAAACAGGTTCCTGTTTATCTGTTGTACAGTCAGTATAGCTATTCTTTTTACTATCATGGTCATAGAAAATGAGCTTTTGGCATCACAACGCGTGGTAGTAGCCACGAAATGGGAATTATTGTTACTGTTTTTCACTGATCCGCACGCATACGATTTTGTGATGGGTCTAATCTGACCAAAAACTGAAGGAAGAATCCGCAACAGAGTGACAATACGAACCTGATGCCACATATGACGGAACTAGAAAAAAATAACGACATGGGGTGCCACATTAGTATGTGGATGGGTCGATACAAAATACACTCAGAAAACCGATGATAATTTTTCAGCTCTACAGAAAGCAATGAATCCTGACATAGCAGCCAGATTTGTGCATTTTCTGGTTGGGTTTCAGCCATAGCTCAATATTCTGTAACACTGTCCATGGGAACCAGAAATCTGTTCCCCGACTTGGACGGATACCAGAGTTATTGATGATTTCTTCAATAAATACGCAAGCCTAGATAACCAGCCAGTGATTGATCAGGTTAAACAGTGCATTATCAGGGGGATATGGTGAAGTGTAAGTAGTACAGACACCAGCTGAATTCATAGCGATCCATTTCGTTACGAATTGACTCATTGCGAAATGGAGTGGAACACGCGTGACAAACTTGATTTCATCAACCCTAAAGCACGTGTAAAAAGTTATTGCTTTATAGTTTACACAGTCGACCTCTAGGCCCTATTTACTTCCAGAAACGGCAAGCTATACTATTTTATGTAAAACATCCTTTTCCCTTTATCCATTTCATTAACACAAGAATACATGTGTGCAAAACTGATATTGGCCAACAATTTCGCATACTCTCTTTCAGCACATTTATGCGATCATGTAAAACGAAGAAACATAAGAGATGAAATGAGCATTTGAACAAAGTGGTGGATAACTGAGCTGCGTGATTAGTGTTTGGTTAGGGGTTGAGGTCAAGTTAGATGAGAAAATTGGATATGGAGATGAACTGGTCCGAACGATGTGGTGAATTGTGGTGGAGACGAGGGGAGGGAATGTCATGGTAGGGTGTGACATCGTCACTATCACGGTAACAACAGTTGCGTCATAAATGCTTCTGAACACATAATTGGGGTTTTAAGCGATGAATAATTATCGCTTCCAAGAGTCGCAAAGTTCGTAAACTTCGAGGCCTCGCAGTGACTCGAAACGCGTTCAGCGCGTCTACACGGTTACTGGAATCTAGCAAATGACGGGCAGTTGCATTAGATGGTAGTTTCCCTCGGTGCCAAATATGCTCTTGAGCCTACACACAATTCTCATAGAACAATTTGTCACGCAACATACATTATATTGGACATCTCTTAGATATTGGACAACAGTAATCAAAAAAATTCAATAAAACCTCCTTAAAGAAAACTAATTCCATTGAAATAATTTTCGGAAGAGTAGTCGAGTTCGCTGAAACGCCTTCTGACAACATAAAAACAGCAGAAGATCAAGTAGTCATCAATTAAACAAGGCTGTAATCTCCATGCTTTGTGCTATGTATTTTTAGTCTTTTTTGGAAAACCTGGTTCATTCACGTTTCTCTGATTTAAAAAGAGATTTTCCATCTCGCAAAATAAGCTGGTGGTAGCTAATGGATTATAAACAACCAAGTCGAGTTTATATTAATAGATGTTTTCCGCATCAGTTCATCATGCGTTTAGTTTCTTTTTATTACCCACGCATTACTTACGTTAATTATTTTTATTTGATGTGGTTTAGTGGCAAAAACTACCACATATAAATTTATCTGTTTCCTAAACATTTTCAATCGTCCCCAATAACAAAAATATTCTAGAATTCACTTGTTCCTAAACTGGACGACTCGGGGACGGGAAGTCAATCCGTGTTTCTAAACGGTCACGGAACGCACTCGTATACCAGTGCTGTCCAAAGGCAATCCACCGCACCAACCAGTCGTCATGGCAGTACTTCAGGCAATACCTCAGATACTTTTTATGTCCCCGAACCAACCGAGGAGGAGGAGGAGGAGAACACGGAAGATTTGATGGTCCAATATCAGGAACAGTTGCGTCAACTAAATGCCTGTATCGATCGTGTCGAATCAAACGAGATCTGTCCCCGTGCGATAACCTCTCATCCGCATATCATGCGAGTGAACGGCCTCGGGACATCTTCCCAAATAACATCTCGTCTTCCAGATCCCAAATCACATGCTGCTCAAATCGGTCCTCCTAGCATTCCAGGCAATTGCGGATCCAACACAAATCGCACCGTTCCATACACTGTTAGACCAACCGGTACAGATGAGTTGAACTGTATTAGTGACTACGAGAGTGGTGACCTGACAGAACGCTCGGACGAGCCGTGTCACAGTGAACCAATGAATACACCGAGTCGAGCAATAGATTCAGATGCGGGTAAACAACCATTTCTCGCCGGGTCTCCCAGTTTGGATCAGTTGGCAGAACGGTGGGTATTTTGATGCATATTAATTTTAAGTTGGGATGAAATTTGTTCTCTTAATGTTGCAAGCATGTTGAAATCGTTAGATCACTAACTAGGCTGATGTTTTCATCGCATTTATTCGCCTGTGATACATTTTCAGTCTTGTTGTCATCATTTTGTTTCAACCTGAGTGTTGTATATCATTATACTTCAGTAAATACGATTTTACTCATGAATGGATGTGGTGGTATTCTACGTATTTCATGAACAGAGGTCGCTGGTCCCAGTAACTGAAGTATTCTGATTTTTAAATTGTATTCCCTTTTCGCGAAGGTCGAAAGCCACAAGGAGTATCAAACCCGAACAAGCTCTTTAAGCACTCCATGCAACGATTGTATCTCACGTATTAAATTTCAGAGCGCGTACGATACGGAGGCGAATTTCACGTACATAGCGGATTTCAAATCACATCGTGTTTCCCTGATCTTCATATGATTAGAGTGTATGGGAATATTTACCGAAAATGTGGCTACAGCGTCGAGTATTGATTTTGATCTACGTGATTTCCTGATTGAGATTATTTGCAAGATATCAAATTTGCGATTATTGTTAGTTCGTATCGGGAAAAACCTTTGTAACACGACACTATTTTATAAGACTTCAAATAACTTTTCAAATTCCAACTACATTGCGAAAGACAGCCCCAATCCTAGAAAGTACTGACCACTCCGTATATGTATTGATCCCTTGTAATAATCGTTTTAGAAATTTGAAGTAGTATTTCCTCTTTATCCGATCATCAGTAAAGGAAAGAAAACAAATCATGCGAGATGGTAACATATCGCTTTGTATAAAATACCAGTTTCCAATCACAAAATAATCGGATCACAGATGGTAGGAAAGCATGTGTTTTCAAAGTGTTCATTCTCAAGCTATCATAATCACATTTTTCTAAGAAAATAACGGGAGGGTGATATGTTGGGGTTAAACGGTCGAGGTCAATCTGTGATACTAAAGAGATGAGAGGGGGGAAGTTTTGTGTTCAATTCCCTTGTTTGGATATAAAGGGGTTACTTAGGCGCTGGTAATAGACTTGGGTCGGTGCCACGCTCATGCCTCGACTCTTGCTAGCACGTCAATTCGAACAGCCTTTGATATTTGTTGTCGGGCCCGTTAAATGAGGATGAAAGCCGCAGTAGTGTCCACTCCTTTGCTATCATCAACTAACCTCGATTGATTGACTCCAACAAATTACCCCCTGGTTATTGTCTTACATCAATTTGATCGTATTGGCTTGAGAAAGAACTAACCGAAAACATATGTTCGATTACGATCTGCGATCTGATATTTGCCAGCTTGTTTTACGCCACCGATTGGGGAGATTAAACGAGTTGGTATCATCTCGTAATGTTTAGCTTCTTTCTGTATTCATTAAATGAACCATTTTGACTTAGATAAGTGGCATTATCGAAAAATTGTGTCATAAGAGCACACCATTTTTAAATCACAAGATAAATTCTTCTTTATCTTGATAGCCCGAGAATAATCTGTCAGTCGATAATTGTCACACTCACAGAGCTTTCCTTAGTTTCGTTTATTTACGGCTACCAATGTGATGGTGCATTTCACATGCACTCTCACTGTGTACTTGTTCATCCAAACAGAACTTTGAACCGATTAAAACTCCGCATTCCAGTGCAGCACGTTTAAAGTTTCACTAGGTAAACCCGTTTCTGAAGGCCAGGGTAGAGCGAGGCACATGATTAGATTTCAATGCTATTCGGTTTGACGTCACTCCACGTATGCACATAGATGGGATTTTATTTGGTTGGTTGGCTGGGTGGGTGCATGATTTGGTGGGTGTTTGGTTGGTTGGGTAAACGGAATCCCACTGTTGGCAACTTGGCATAGGATTGGTTGGCTACTCATGAAATCGGTTTCACGTCTGTCTATGTCGTCACACCCTGCCGGTTTCAAAAATAGAAGTTATCTTGGCCAATCCGATTGCTGCCTGGTCTGTATATTGCCCCAAAAAGCACGGTTCAGACGATCGGGGAGTTGTATGGTTATCGCTACGGAAAATTAATGTGTGGTGTCTATAAGTGGTACAAAGTATCCCACGTGATTATTATTGCGCGTAATCCATCTTGCTGTTCTGGTTAAACATATTTTTGTGATTCGCCACATGCATTTTTGTTTTAACTCCTCCGTGTCTGTGTAACGGACGTTGTTGTTCCCTTACACGCGTCCGCAAACAGGCACAGACCACTTCATGAAACAACATCCCCGCAGTTTTATTGCGTCACTGGCCTTCCTACAGAATATAGTTTGTGTTCGATGAATCTACACAATCAGAGTTATTAGGGGGTGGGGTGTATCTATGCGGAGAGAGGATAGTGTGCGCCTGTGTAACCATAATATTTCTTATCCTCACTAACGTGAACACGCACTCCAAGAAGTTGAATTATTTCCCCAGTGGTAAATGCACAAACTCGTAGATTTGTGCGGTTGATTATGTGGAATGTTTCAGAGTAGAGAAACTTTCTTATTGTTTGGTCAACTGTTCACGCGGTTGATTTTCCATCGATGCGTTTTGCTAAACTGTACTGTGCTGAAAGCGTCTCTCTTTAATTGGACAAATATCCCAAAACAATTTGATCGGAAAATCGCCTTTTACATTCATTCCCGTTTACAGTCTGGATGAATGGACAAATGGGTTCAGAATCAACGAATATAGTCATAATTCGGTCAAAGATGTATGAAGGAGACAAACACTAATCTAGCTGGTTTCTTTTCGCTCGTTCTCACCAGGTCACCATGTCTGCGTAGTTAAACGTGCGAATAGAGTGTAGCGGGATAATTTATGGCTTGGGTGTAGGTGCACCCGTCGCGGTGGGTGATTGGTGTGCCCCTATGAATCGGTCACGAATGAGTCCAACTTAAGTATCTGTCCTACGGTCACACTGGTCTCTATTCACTGTAAAAATAAGATTTGAACAACCTGTTTCTGCGTTGATCGATTCCGTTTAATCGTGATCGCTTCCACTGTGATAGCCTGAACTGGAACGACCTGGGGTGGAAATCCCAATTCAGTCCATCTGAACACCAATCGTCACATGAATTGTACTAGTACTCACATCATAGATCGAAATGCTACATTTTATTTACGCGTTTGACATAGTAAAAAGCACCGAAAACAGTGTTTGCTGCTTTGAGACGTCTCGGGGACATGCTACCAAAAAACTTTTCCAATGCATTTCTTACTCCGTCTGATGGAGATTGTGAATCAAGACTGAGAATGGGATTACCGACTAATGTGACTTCCCACGACTCTTCCAGTCTTACTGTAGAAATTCCGGATAATTACCTTTTAATTAAGGCTTTTTTCAATTAGACAAATTTTCCCAACAACATCGTATATTTGCAATTGCTATCCTGTTTGGAAACATACTTTCAAAATGATAAAAAATCGCTCTACCTCACAGGCACTCACCCACGCACATACCCAACATACACCAAAACACAGTTTGTCTTCCGCACAGCCTCCATGTCAACTATATTCTCGAACTATTCATTCCGGTTTCCATGCTATCATAGTTTTCCGAATTCCGAAGAAGACTGCCAAAACAACAGTTACCAAAAAAGGAATACACATCAGTCCACATGTGGGAACAGGCCGAAAGGAAAACAATCTAACGTCAATCGTGCAAAACTGGGACAGTGAGACACGGTTTAGTGCCAACATCCCAATCGGGGCTTCATCCAACCATATTTGGCCTTGTGCGACTATACCCTTCTTCCGAATGATGGTCACCACTTGTGCACTATAAAATCTGAGAACTCGACCAAATTTGACACTGAGAAAACAACACATACATATGTATATTGGGATTGTGAAAAGTTCAGTAGCATGGACGCATGGACGCTGCTCACGATTTTGTACAGTGCACTCTCTACCAGCTGAGCTACAAGGCTACACCCACAACACTGATCTTTTCACATTAGGATTACCCATTCAACTTACAAAGGAATATGACATCCACCAGCTAGCATACAAACTGACTGCCCCGACAGGTTGTCCTTAGAATTTACCGTAGTCCACCGAAGGAACATCTAAGTCAAGGTTAATTGTGCAAATGGTTGTTTGGCAGATTGAAGTTTTATGTCGGGATTGTGAAAAGATCGGTGCTATCGGTTTAGCCTCGTAACTCAGCTGTTGGAGCGGCTTCTGTGCGTAAATTCGAATCCCACCGAGGCTACTGAACTTTTCACAATCCCAACATAAAACTTCAATCTGCCAAACAACCCTGTGCGCACACATATATCTTTGAACAAAATGATGAAGACTGAATGGCATTATTTTGAGGTACCCCCGATTGATTTGTAATTTAATTCTCTAGTGGGCTACAAAGAGGATTTGACACTTGCATATTTTGTTTTTCCGACGTATCAGCTATGCTCATTATTTTCTGCCCTTTACCAGGGTGTGAAAAGGTAACCTTCATGTTGGGAGTTGTAAACTTACATCTTAGTTACACGATTGACAGCGCGTTGATTTATTCAATTAGACATATTTCTGTACAGTTCATCCGAATTTAGAAAAAATGATCTGCATACTATTATTTTTATTTTTATTATTGTTATTGTCTCTAGCTCTGCCTAACTTGGTTTTCGTTGCCTTGAAATGTTATTCTCGGATGGCTGTTGTTTATCTCTCAAATATACATCGAAGCTCTTGAATTATCCGGATTCGCGGAGGTTCTCGCATAACTCAATGAACATTGTGGATTTGTATTTGGTAGTTAACAAAATATCGAGGGATTGTGGAAATTCCATGTTGTGATTGATTCGAGTAAGATTTCCACTGCATGTGGCAATTTAAATTCCCTGTTCCCATACGTGCACAGCTTGTATTCATTCCAAGCCAAGACTGAAACGACCGCTTTTAGTGACTTAGATGAGCTTTATAACGAGTGCAACTGTGAATTACACAAGCCCATTAATTGTTTTGTTTTCTTTCAAGTTTTTGCTCAAACAGTCCACATTTGGTGTCACATTTTTGACCTCATTTTGCATCAACAATTTATGCACGATGAAACTGACATTTATGTGAATTCATTAGGAAAACGCAACTCCAATCCATTTTTAATCTCTGTAATTCGGTCTTTCATGTTTGTTTACATCAGATTGCAAGAGCTACGATTGTTGCTCAAACATGAGAGACAGGAATTGGAACAAGTGGTGGCGACAAAAACTCAAGCGATTCAACAACAAGAACAATCTATCGAACAGTTGGCGTCCGAACTCGATCAGCTACGACGCGGTCCCGGGGCACAATCCGGACGTGGTCGAGTAACCAACGGACGTAAATGGACATCGGGTACGGTCAGTCCGTCCTCTTCTTGTTCTCTCTCTTCCGACTGTCACACATCCAACCAGTCGGACGGTGCATATCTCTACTCGGACGAGTTATCTGCTCTCCCAAATGATGCCGGCCAATTCGCATCAGATTCGGTTCGTATTCCGGGGACAAACTCTGCAGCACCAGCAGGGGCTGCAATAGGAAATGGAGGAGGAGGCAATCATCGGTTGCAACGTTTTCGTGCCAAGGCTTGGTCCGACCGAACTGAGCAGTCCAATCTGACACCGACCAACACAAGTAATACAGAGGCAATGAATCGTTATGGACCAAATTTGCTTGATCTGACCCGAGCCAGTGAAGGCACTGGAATTCCGTTAGGTGATTTGATTCTGTCCAAGCAATCTATCCCGATTCGACGGAGATTCTCCGAATCCAAACTGCTGCATCATTAAACTCTCAATAAGCGCAAAATGACGCGAAATGATTAAAACATTGAGGATGGCATTTTTCGCCAGCCTCTTGCGTCATTCGTTATAGCCATCGGTCATTTTGGTTCCCCGAGAAATGTGTTTTTCGGTACCACTCGTCCACTCGTGCATTCTGCCTCCAAACAAATCTATCCCCTTTCGTTAGGAGTTTCTTTTCTAGATCTGAAAATCATCTGGCTTTTAAGAACTATGTTTTTACAATGATCTAATCGGATCGGATCGGATCTATTATAGAACAGTCGAGGAGGCTGCGAAGCCGTACTTTGGTCCCCTTCAGATTTTCATCTCAGCCTCAACCTCGTACAGAAGTAGAGTATTGCAAACACACACGGGACATTTCATGTACTGTTTCACGGCGATGCTTGCACTTGGCTGATTGACAGACAGATAAACATGCATCCGCACAGCCCACCCTGTTCCTATGGCTTACTTCTTTCGCTTGAATCGATCACGCCCGCCCGCTGTCTCGCTCTGGGTTTATGACAAGAGTATCCTTCAAAAAAAAAACTATGGCTACAATCATCATGCCGACCTAGAGGAACTAGGCTGCACACACTGTGCTTTTTGCCACTCCCTCACCTAACTCGTGTTATTTGTGCCATTTTGTTTATACTCGATCCGTTTGTTTTGTGTTTCCCATACGGACAACCAGACGAAACTTACCCAAAGCACCGACGCATATGAACCCTCGTTCATCTCGCCTGCTCATCAACTCATGGCCACAATAACACCTTTGTCGACTATTCAATCAGATAATAATGATGATTATCTCATTCAATACATGCCCATTGACTCATGGTTAGACATTATCGAACCTATCGATCGTAGCATTTACCCCTAGTCCGTTCTTTTACGATCTCTTGGTCTATCCACTCTCACTCCTGTCCTGTGTCAGTCCTACTTGACTCCTTCACCCTCCTACCCCCACCCCACCCTGACCACCGCCACACCTCAACTTGCACAAACAACACTTATCACGGACCGCATTCAATCCATTTCCCAAACAATCTATGCTCGATTAATTCACCCTATCTCGTGTCTGTGTGAACACAAATGTAAATAATCCTGTACTCATACGCTTGATGCAAATAAAAAGGCGCCATTAGTATATATTAAAAAATAATAGTTGTTTTATCTGGATACTTATTCACTTGGGGGTTCCCAATAGGATAAATGTTTCTTCTCGTTAAACGTGTTAAGTTAGACACGCGTTTCCCGGTGGCTATCAAAATTGAAAGGGATTAGAATGTAACAGAACTAACGTTTCTTCCAGCCCTACTAGTTGGTTATCTGTTTCCACATAGCAGATCATGCTGTATTCAGCACTGACATACTTCGATACAACTCGGCGCAGATGCCATTTAAATGCTCGAGTTTAGTCGTACTGAGTTGATTTTCTGATGATCTAAGAAATTTCTTCAATAACATCGTCTTACATATTGCTTATGAGAATAATTTATAGGTCTATGATTTATCGAACGACTATCAGTCCTCAGGTATTCGTCCCAGCCCTTTGAAATTTACTGTTATTTTCGGAAGATAGCTGCACATTTTTGCATAGGATTTAGTGGCTTCTTATCTGTGGGATCGCCTTCAAAAAACTAAATATTAGCGTTTATTTTTGAATCTCTTTTCACTCCTTTCTCGTGGCTCAGATGCTTCCCCACCCAAAGGAGGGAACAAAAGCTCAACATCCATGGCTTTATCCGGGTCATTTGGACTGAGCAACTTGATAGTATCCCACCTGCTAGCAAATCCTGGATTGCCTTCTTCGTTATAAAGATTTTTGTACCGTGATTTGTCTGGCGCACATTCGGGACTCAGACATACGGGAAATACAATGAATATACAAATAATATCTGTAACATCACTAGGTTGCCAAAACTTCAGAAAACATTCAACTTCCTACAATGCCTGACTTCAATTAGAAAGTTACCTTCTATTAGGTTAAACTTTTCATTTGGGCTGGCCTATCATTATCTGACAAGTTATAAGGTAAAGTCTCTGAGTGGACCTGTCAATCGGTGGGGAGAGTTGGTGCTCATTACGTTTACACAACTCGTACGATACCGACAACACACGACCATTTTTCTTCCTCTTTCCAGAAGCAGTTCATTTGTTTTGTATATGTTATTTTTGTGACGTTTTACTTTGCTCATTCTTCCTACCCCACCCCCTCAGTGACATGCAGTGTCGCTATCCGTTCATATCACCAATGTAAAAATTATTGTTGATTATTTCAGAAAAATAACCGCATGATGTCTTAAACAATTCAACTAAAATTGTCCCGTATAGTCGTCACACGGAACCCCCTCCCTCATTGGTAATATTGGAATAAAGCTATATTTTAATCGATTTACAATTTATGTGGTTGACAGCTGTAATTCTTGTGCTTCAAACAGCGTTCTAGAGATCCGTGGACAGACATTTGATCACTTCTGGGACACATCAGCAATGCGTGTTCTCTTTTCATACCGTTAACCCTGAGTTATATGGTCATAGACCGATACTTGTCCTTACGGTGCTATGCATTGAAGACATTTTTGTTTGCAGAGGGTAAAAACGAAAATGCCTACAATCGTGTGGGCGCTAAGTTTCCGGGTTCGATCCCTAGTTGGGTCGATGGATTAGCAATAATAATTAGACCCAACGATGTTGAAACAGCGGTCCAGTGCTTCCCACATTTTCAGCTTAAGCTTAATTGGCTCTTTACGTGGCAAACTCCACTCTATGTTCAATCGCTTATCCATAATGTGCTCTTGTTTATTGTTGAAGGTTCAAAAAAACAGACTGCATTTATGAGAGTATTATTCAATTATAAGCTTACTGTTCAAGAGCACGCAATATCGTCATGGCATATAGAAAGTCATGGAAGTGGGGCGTTCATCTATGACATTGTCTCAAGCTGCGATAAACTTAATCCTCTTATATCACAACTTAAATGGGTACACCCTTGACTATCATGATAAACATTTGAGGTAATGCATAAGTTACAACTCCAAATAAAAAAGATATGCTTTTGTAAGGTAGCAGAAGAGCTTATTCTTCCTCATAAATAACTACTGTTCCAAGGAGGATTTTACTCTGATTAAGCTTTCTAATTTGCACGTTTTTTTCCACACAATGCAAAGAAAACATACCGACAAGTGGCAAACTGTAATCATAGTTAAGTCGAAATTATATGATAGTAGACTGTTCACGTAAATTCTCTCATCATGAATGGCGAAAACATTTTCTCCGAGAAACATGAAAATTGACTTTCAAATGCCAACCTTGAAGTAGGAGGCTCGTTGAACAAATGTTTCACAAGTCTACCATACCCAAACCGATACACAGGGGATTCATGGAGGCAACGTATTGGTGAAGTGTATAAACCCGGTGTCTCGTTCCCTGACATGTGCAAATGCTTCGATGTAAACCGAATCCCAATCGACTGTACATTCGAAGGACTGGATCCAATAAAACAATGATGCGGAGGAATAAGATCGATCAAAACTGGACCAAATCAATGATGGCACGCGGTATCAGTTGAAAAAAGCCAATAGGAATTAATTTTGGGAATAGTTTGGGTGAATTTAGAGCAATTTTTGAAAATGGAATCGCGACTAAAATCAGGAGATGTGAAATCGTTATTGAACACTTAACAAAAGAGATGAATAATTTCAAATCTCTAAGACCGTTATTGTGGCGTTCGAGTTATTTCACTGATAAATATCTGGTGGTTGACGGGAAAGATACGCTTCGCGGAGCATGGTGAAAACGAAATTACGTATCTGTGACACACCTTTCAGTCATTCTCTCAAATAAAGTATCACAATTTTGTCTGACGTTGTTCGATTATCTCACAAGCGATTCTCCGTCAACTGTTACTAAACACTAGAAGTCGTAAGCTTAGGAGGCATTTGACTAAATAAATGAACAATATAGGTGGATAATATTGCTTTTGCTACCTGTGTCGCACATATAATTATGCGAGACCATATATACCGTTTTATCGCAAAACGATGCCGCGGTGAGTTTCACCACCAAGACATGTTCAGTAAGTGCGCCTCAAACGTTTTATCCCCTCCCCATGATACCCTAACGACGCACTGTGGTAAAAGAGTTGGTTAAAGTGTGAATTTGGTGGTGATTTTCATGGGGCGTCGCCAATAACACATTCATTTCAAGGTTGTGTGTTCAAACATCGTCACCGCCACCAAACTATCCGCTTGTCTGTATATCAAATTGCAGCTCCGTAATTGGTTCCTCTTGAGCTGAAAAGATTAGCGTAGTTAGGTGTTCACTAAAAGGAAATAAATTAATAGAATAAATGCACAAAAATTAGGTGAGCACCAAATGGAAACCTTTGACCAAAATTCATCAAATGGATTTCTATTCTCCCATGTTTATTCAGAGTTCCGTATAACTTTAAATACTTCACATCATCATCCATCTAGGTGGGCGAAATAAGCAGTTATAAGCAGAGGAAGAAACGCTAAAGGGTAAATTCATACTCAGGTTTCTTCTTCTATTCCAAAGTGATTTAAATGCGACTAATGTGAGTTATCTGATGAACAAATTTGAAAGATTCAACTGTGTCATGAAACTTCTGCAGTCGTGCGGCAAATGCACTAAACACTTTCTAAGAGTCTTCAGCTGTTACAAAGCTATCACTCACTCTTTGACGGGGTTAAAACATAGACTGAAAACGTTAACCTGACAAACACTGCTATCGATTAAATCCACTGACATATCTCAATAATATATATATATATACATATATATATATATATAATGAGAATTTGTTCACCAGACTGTGCCTCAGGAACTGGAAAGTATAAAGCAAACACTGTTTGAAAACGGCTATCTGGAACGATTCGTTCTTAAGAATTTGACAGAACGGCCACCAAGAGCACCACTGACGAAGGTGAAGAAAAGAACTCTTCATAAAACTGCCTTTTAAAGGAGATTACACGTCTGAGTTACTCAGACGCCCATTAGAAAAGGCTATCGCTCGCACTTTCCCTACTGCAACCCTACGTACTCTAGTGACAAACCAGCGACTGGTTTCCGTAAATCTTAAAGATACATTACCTATCCTATCCTCATCTATGATCATTTATCACTTTCTTTGCTTATACTCGGCAAGTTATGTAGGAAGAACGATCAGGCAATTGTCTCAAAGAATCAGGGAGTACCAACCGGCATGGCTGAGTACGAGTATGAAGAAAACGATTACAAATGCGATGGTAGAACACCTTGCAGGTACGGGGCATCAAGCAAACGACAACGCTTTCACTGTGATCTTCAAAGTACCAGCAAACCCAGCAAAGGCTGTTCGTCAACGACACCTTGCTACAGCCGAGGCGGTGGCTATTCGCCTACTCAATCGGTCCCTTTGGTCTCGAAAAATGATTCGTCCAGTCACTTTGTTTTCCCTTGTCATGATCGAGGGGCGCAGACCGGAAATGAAACAGCTCACTCTATCCACCGACTATGAACATCTTCGAACCACAAAACAATAACAACAACAACAACACTGCCCTCATATTTCCAAACCACGCATCACAAGATCACAATCAACCAATCATATTCATCACATCTGACCGTAACACTAATTTGCTAATTTTGAACCCTATATATAACTGTATTAGCCCGAGGAGGAAGTTATCGAAAACAAGCTTTGTTCGCTACAGTGTTTTCCTAATATCTGAATAACAGTTTGAAGTCATTTGAAGAACTCTACATTCATTTCGAATTGCTTATTTTATTTCATCAGAGTTTATTAACTTTGGTTATGAAGTATGGTATGAAGTACGGTAAATAAAATGAGGAAGTGCAATCAATAATTGACCTTCATATCGAGATCATTGTTTCCGCTAAACGAATCGTTCAGTGATGGATTTCGCACCAGCATAACCGAACACTTTCCCCTCAATCTTCACCGAAAAGCCTTGGAGTCACTGCAAAGTAATTTTGAATCCTTTCAGTAATGCGCATGGCACGCAACTCTGTAGTTCTGTTTGCAAACCAAACTTCCCAAACCACTTCATTAAAACCTATTTAACTTACCTTATCCGTATATATTTTGCCGTTTCTCGATGCAAAGACTTGTTTTGAAAAGCGAACTAAGTAGAACATAACAGGAAACCAGGGCGAAATCTGTTAACCGGCTGTTGTTTCCACGACTGAAGCAACCGTAGAATAAATTCAACCAGATTGATAAAACCTAAGGTAGAGCAACGGTATAACAAACACAGTAATTCCATTCATTTATATGGGACACGCTTTCGTGATCGTGAATAAGCAGCACGCTCACCTTCTATCATTTTAATCGATACAAAAGATAAGTACACATATGTGTGTATGCATGTAGGAGCATCTATCGTGCGGAGGGTTACAGAACTTCGAAAGGTGATGGTGCGAAATTGGAGTAAGCAAATTTGTTAAAGTGGTATTTGAACTGGCGAAATATTAGAACAGTGGGATGATTACCTACAGTGTTTGGTCATTGGCTACACCTGAAGGCAGCTTAATAAACCAACCTTAGTGATCTCGGTCCAAGGTGTGTGGTTTCGGTCGCTAGGCTTACCTTTGTCAAATACAGTCTAACATAGGTGGGTAACAAGCTGTGCAAATGAACAGCTTTGTCTTGAACTTGTCTCACGGTCACAGATGGAGGTTATTTCGAAACAGAAAGCATGTGGCAGCCATATGTTTACAGAAGCTTTCTGGAACACTATTGAATGTACCCATTTCCATGGTTTAAGTACACAATTAAAGAGCAACGTATGGAGTCTTGATCTGTAACTCATGAAAAAGTTAAATTCCCTTTGACAAGTTAGTCTTTTGCTAGTCCATTATAGGTTTCTTCCAGGTTGCGCTATTTATCGCTCTAGCGACATTGCCTAAGCAATTTGCGATAATCTCTTGTATCACGGCTTGTATCATAAATCCGAGTCATAGGCTGATCTGACCCAGTCTTTCTCTTGTAGGATAACCACTAACGAACACCTCTCCTACCGTTTTGTCACTTTCGAGAAGAGAGAGGTTTTCCGTCAGCTCTGCAATAAACCGCATTGAAGACGTCCCCTCCTACTGTTCATTGTTGGAGACTGGGATCCGAGATGCGATCAAAAATGGAATTCGAGAACAGCACAAACCAGTGTTGCAATAACCTTTTTACCCATACTTCAACACTGAATACTAATAAAAGGAGCCACATGGCTCTCACTGAGTTATACAAAATGGATTCTATGTCGTTGGCATGCATTTTCCGGTCCTCATTATCACGCGCATATTGTCGTTCGGGTGGCAGTTATGTGAAAAGTCATCATTTGGACATTGGGTCTCTGACTATGAGGAGGTAATAGTTTCAAAGGGAGATTCGTCGGTGTGCTCACCATCTTTTGTCACTGGATTCGTATCGTGTGACTATAGTCCACTATCTCCCTTTAACGTTGCTTAACTGACATGACCGACGTTCGATGAATGAAGTTTAGGTAAGATTAACCATGGAGAGGAGGATAAAAAGGCAATCAGCTGGTGCATAGTCGGGAGTACTACGAACTTGTTCATGATTAGAACTCTCGAGAAACATGGCTGCCACCGTTACTACCACATGAGCTGGCTCTGACAAATTGTAGAATATCAGACTGAAAACCGTAGTTCTCATTCGGTCAACTTCAACTTGTCTAGTGCGCTTTTGTGCGTTTGATAGATTTCTCTACCGTTTAATTTTTGGGACATTTACTTAGAACTAAATTCTCATTACGTACTTTGCGCGTTAAAACTGAATATTACTTGAAACAAAATGGGAAAAGCTGAAGTTTTAAACTCTCAACCCGGTAAAAGAATGCCTTGATTCGGCAAAAATCATCATCAAGGATTATGTGAACCCATCAAAAAAAATTATTACAGTAAACTGATGTATTGTTCGCTGGCACAAAACTCTATGGTCCGTCTCCTAAACATGTGTATCAAAACGCTGAGCAAACGGAACATAATCTGAGCTCTTCTAAATCCTATATCACAGAAATTCCCTTTGGTAAACCAACCGTTTCAATCCATCTGAAGCGACCTCCGACTACGTCTACAACGAAATTGTCTGGCGGTTCCCAGTAACGAGATGCGCGTCGAGAAATTCATTCAGTTTTAAATTTCTTTGTGTTTGATTTCACGTTGGTTTTCAATTAAGTGCAGCACTGAAACCGTCTATTGTTGTATTTTCACACACACACACCTGAATCCAGACTAAGTGCCAAACAAAACATAGTACAAATACCCTCATAAAAAAGAAAAAATGTTCCATGATTTGCATGTGGGCGGGATACTGCCAGGTGTTCTAGGTCAAGGCAGGTGAGTTCTTTTGAGGAATCCACAACCGGAGCCTTTGGCTAGCCAAAGCCTGACCCGCAAGGCAGCGGGGCGGTGTGCGGAAACCGCAGTCCATTGGGAGCCGGTATCCAGTTCCTCGGGTCGTACGCCCTTCGGACGAAGTCAGACGTCCAAGGTGCCCAATACACCTCGATGCCCAATCAAGCCGGTGACCACTGCCACAACCAGGGAGTTGTGTGTGTGTGGTTCGTAAGCCTCCTCATGGTTGGTTTGGAATCAGGGTTTTGGCCAACTCCCCTAAGTGAACTGCCAGTGGTCCACCAACCGGGTTATAGCCCCGGACGTCGGCTTTTCGTCCTCTCACTTTGGTGGGAAAACACCTCCGCCACGAGGAGGCAGTGAGAAGACCTTCTTTAGCAGGGGCTATTTGAGACGCTTGGTCGTATGGGAGCATTTCGCGAGGTGCAAGGGAAGGGTGACCAGCCACAGGCCTAGACACCCACCGCCAATCATACTGAGGATTTCAGAGGCACCAAAACCATGTACACCCAAATATCTCTGTTCCTTTATTCTGAACTTTGTATTGGATGTAAGTTCGTACGCGGTTCTGTCCTTGAACTACCTCAGGGATGTCAGAGTGATGCAAGACAGTAGGCTGTCCCAGCTGGAGTAAGCGGACGATAGGTTACTGCGGAGTGAGGATTCATGTGAGTTGCAAGCTTTTCTCGATTATTTGATTGATAATGCAGACAAATGCGGTATGCGTTAAGCACCCTAAACGTTTAACCTGTTTGTTGTTCTAGAGATCCACTGTTGTTCTCTGCACCTCAGTCTAACAGGAGGCAATACAGATAATGGACAAATGCTTAAAACTGAGGCGTTTGCATCACTCTTGGTTATTGAACTCTAGACGAATTTTCTACACTCAAAAAGAATATTTAATAATTTTTTGCCGGATGTCTGGTTGGTTATGCTATGATGTGCAAATACGCGGCCATTACAAATTAACAATCAACTTGGACTATTGGTGTTTGAAGAGCACCGTCTACACTGCATTGGGTAGTCGAGTGAAACATCAGGACAAGAAATTCTGAGGTTGGAAAAATTATACTGGACAATCACAGCCGCGTGCTAAATCAAATCCCTTATTTCGGTGACTTCATCATGTGTTGTGCATATGTCACTGTATAGGATTTATCGGTGTGTAAATTTGACGAAGCAGGTAGTGTTTCTAGGATCACTGAGGTTGACTAGAATGTGACGTAACTCTATGTGCTGAAAGTCCTAACCAATGTACTTGCTCATGTGAAGTCGCATTAACCTCCCCGAGTGCAGACCAAGAAAACCTTCCCAGTCAGCAAAAAAGTTACTTGGAAGATAATGTGAATTGTTGTGAAAATTATCTCGTAAGCTTTGGTTCGATTTCTAGTTTGTGCGCTTTCTGTATCCTGATAGTGAAGGTGTTCCCAGTTTTTAGTTGTCTCTTTTACTGCCTTACTTGATGGAAACAACATGCAAGATGTCTTAACTAAAATCGTTGAACGTAAATTAGAGAAAACCGATGATACACACTAAAACTGAATCAAGATGTCCAGTGGTTAGGTGTGACAACAATGTGGATTAGTGCGGAACGAATCTGATGAGACGAAAAGTAGGAACTTNTAGGAACTTTCAACTGGTAAATTGTCTAAGGTTGCCTTGGGATGAGTTTATTTTGATAGTGGAAAAACAATTTCAGTAGTTAAATAAATAACTGAAAGGCAGCAGATTGTGCGGTTAAAGAATTTGTTGGGTCTGGAAACTGAAAACAGCGAAGTGGGAAACATCAAAGCTAAGATCGGGTCAAACCACGAAAATATGTTTTCTATAATTAGCAAGCCAGCGGTTCGCGTTCGGTCTATTGACTCAAATATTTATACAATAGAAACATCGAAGGTCTCCTTCCGGCTGTTTGCGTAACTACAACTTTGTGATTTCAATCAATAATCAAAAGCCTTGTGTGTGATTCCTGTTAACAAGCCATAATTCTATGAGAACAAACATGAATACATTTGTTGCATCCAATTCATTTAGATGATTAAAAAACTTTGCTAGAATGTTGAACCCTGAATGCTTGCTGCCGACCCGCGCCGCACCGCACCCCACTCCCGGATGTTTTCTTCTACTACTTCCTTTTATCTTATCTAAT